CTTCCATCCCACCACCACCACCATTCTGCACCCCCACCCCATCCACCTGTCCCTGCCCATACTCCCCCCGTCCGGTATAGCCGCTCCCCGCATTGGCCGTGCTCAACCTCGCGCACAAACTCAAAAGCACCACCGTCTCAGTAGCCGCGTAGTGGTTCAGCGCGTCCAGCAAAATCTGCAGGTGCTTGCTGAAATTGTCCTCCCATTTCCTGATCAAGTCAAACAAGCTCGCCATCTTGTCCTCTCCTTGCTGCTGCTGCTGCTGCTGACCCTCCATGAAGGAGGCATCGGTAGGTTTTTGGGAGCGGACAGACTGGAAAACCCGCCACTGCTCCTCCGACATGTTGGGCGGTCTGTGATGTCCCGAGAGGTCGGGGTCCGTCTTTTCCAGCTCGCGGGATAGCCAGTTTGTGTAGGTTGCAAAGATGGTGCAGGTTTGGGTTAGTTTGGAGTGGATCTAGGCGCCACCGCACACAAGTCAGCGTAATGAAAACAATCGAGGTACACAAAGTTCACAAAGGAGGGTTTTTACTTACACGCAAGAGTTTGGAGTTCGTCAGCATACACTCCTTCAGACACGTATCCAAGAAATCGACATGATCCTGCATCAGCTCATCCACTGTCCTCGTCAACCCCGGGCGGATATGTGTCGACTTTAGTGGGTAGTGGTGGAGGTTTGGGGATGTGGTTGGTGTTGGGAGTGTTGTGCCGTTTTGCTCCCCAGCTCCCGCTTGCTGCTGATGCTCCTGCTGAGGCGGCTTCTCCCTCTCCCTCACCCTCGCCATCAAAGCCTGCCAGTTCGGCTCAATGACCTCGGCCGTGCAGAAATACAACAGCTGCTGCACAAACACCAACATCCTCGCTCGTAACGTCCAGACCCTCCTCTTCCAAATCTCCAACACCCTCGACGACGACCGATGACACCACACAAACCCGCTCGTGTGCGTCTGCCACGTCGTCGACAACTGCGACTCCAGATATCGCAACGACAGCAGATACCTGAAAAGAGCCTGATACCGCCACACCGTCTTCCTGCTCACCACCAACGACACAGGAAACGGCACCGAATAATCAATCTGCAACGACGTAAACCCATTCGCCGCCTTGTCGCTCTCCACCGGCTGGTTGCTCGTCAGCGGCTGCAGCGCCTCCCCCTGCTCTATCCCCGTGATATTCACCACCCGATGAAGGCTCTTGGTCAGGTTGATCTCGTTCATCTCCACCTTGACATCCTCCTTGAACGGATCAAGCGCAACAATGCTCCCCGGCTGCCTCAGCACCAGATCCAACAGCGACTGCAACTTCCCCGTGTTCACCGACTTGACCGGCTTCCTCAGCTCACTAGCCCCGAGCTCGAGAAAGTAAGAAAAGTAATCCGACGGATCCAGAAAGAAGTAATGCTTCAGCGAACGCAACCGTGCCGGCAGCTGATGCGTCGTCAACAGCAACTGCATCAGCGACTCATTCGCATGCGCATAGGCGTTGTTGACATTGTCCAGAAACCGATTGTCGTCAAAGGAAGTCGGCACGTGCTTAACCTGCAGGCTGACATCGACGCCGCCGCATTCCCTGACCACATTCAGGTATTTCCCCGCAAGCAACACCTTGTCCTTGACCCCCTCCAGCTGCGGCGGCACGTCGTGGTCTCGGATGGTATACCTCCTCTCCCAATACTCATCAGTATAATCCTGCTCCAGCCTCTCCCTCCTGATACTCCTCTGCTCCTTGATCAAAAACTCCGAATGCGGGTCACTAATCCCCCCATGGTGCAGCCACTCGTTCAGCATAGCCATGTACGGTTTGCTCGCATCCCTCAGCAGCGTCGTCAACAACGCCCTGGCCGCCGGATCACCAGACATGGACTCCAACCTCTTGGTGATCAACCCCAGCACCACCCCTCCCTTGGTAATCTTCTTACCGGTCATGTTCCCCGGCACCAGCTCCCCCCCTTCTCGTAGCTGCTCCAAAATATGATCATAATCATCTCCGCCGTCACTACTCTCATCCGACTCATCATCCAGCAGCGCATTCCTCTTCAACAGCTCATGCGCCAGCCCATAAACCTGATGCATCATATGGCTCGTGGGCAGCACATGAATATTCAACACATGCAACGTGAACGAGTCATCCGTCAAGAACTGCGTCTCCAACTGCGCAACCATGACCAAATACTCCTGCAGCAGCTTCCGTATTGACGCGCAAAGGGCGTGGTTGACGGAGCCGAATTCTTCGCGGGATTGTACGTCGACAAACGTCACGAGAGCGGTGTAATGAGCAGCCATGCGCAGCATGGACTGGGTGAGGTCTTGCAAGGAGGGGTCGAGGCCGGGGAGGATGCGCCATGTTGGACCGGACAGCCTGTCTCGTTCCTCGTTGGGATTGTAGCCTTTGCCGAAACGAATGTATTGGCCTTCGTAGCCCATAAAGACGAATAGGAGGTCCTCGATGATGACCGCCTCTTGGGCTTCGAGGGAGAGGTCATGGAAGGGTTTCGGTTGGAGGGCCTGGGGGGCGGTGGAGGCGAGGGGTGGGATTGATATGCGGGATGCTAAGGGGGCTGATGTGTGCGGGAGGAGCGTCGCTTCTGGTTCCCATGGGGGGGGGGCGGGTTTTTCTTTTTTTCTTTTGGTCAGCATGATGTTCATGATGAGAAGGGTGGTGTAGTAGGTTTTTCTTTTGGGGGGGGGGGATTTTCTTTCCCATCAGGTAGAACAAGTACCAGAGGGCGGGGTTGTAAAAGCAAACATACAGACCTTGGAGTGGCGCATCCTGTCGCATATCCCGAGACCTTGGTTCAGCAGCACGCTGCTTTGCTCCCTCGCGGCGATCGGGGCTCCTCGTCCGTGTCATCAGCGTCTCCCGCGTCGTCACCTGCACCTTTTCGGTGCGGCGCTCCTCGACATGTCTGCTCGTGGAGCGGGGGTTGACCGAGGTGGACCGTTTCCTCGACTCGGCATTGCTGTGCTGGTGTTGGCTGTGGCTCTGGGAAAAGCTCACTTGGTCTGGTCTGCTTCTCTTGTCTTGGAATGTCGGCGGCCTGGTGGTGCCCGACGACATTGTGTTCGTCCTCCTCTTACGGCTGCCGGTGCCGGCATTGGGCTACTGGGCAGTGATGATCACAAAATGATGTTGAACAACAACCTCTGGGCGGCAGATATGTGGTGATAAGATAGTGATTACCTCTGCCCTGCCAATGCCAAGTCGCGGGAGCTTTCCAAGCCCCAAAACGCGACAATGGCCATGGATGGATTCACGCGCCGGCTCTTTGCTGTCCCGAATCGGGACTAGCGCGGGTTTACAGCGGCAGGGCAAGGCTGGGGTCAAGGTACCTGGGTACATTTACAGGGGGCCTTCCTTCGTCTACAGTTGGTCGCCTGGCTGCCAGCGGGTGGAGAGCTTCGTAGACCTCCGTGCCTGGAGGGAGCTCACTGCCATTACAGCTTCTCCTCCACTACAGACGGGAGTATCTCACTTTCAACAACCAGCGACGACATTAACTACGATATTTTCGGCTTGAGCTGTTTTTTTGACTCTTACCTTCCAACACCCACCGGCCACTTAATCACAACCACCCCCAAAACACCGCCAAGATGTTTATGGCAAGATCAGAATATGGTACGTCCCCCTCCATCAGCTCGATCCATGCCACTTAGCAGAGTCGCATACCTTAAATCACATATAGCTAACATGTCTTTACAGATCGGGGTATCAAGTAAGCCTCTTTTCTGTTTCATTCCCTTCTCTCTCACCGATCTCTCCAACTTCAAAGTCCCCGCCATACCAGTCCAACCCATCACCAATCCAGCTAACCAACCAACCCCCCCCCCTCCCAAAAGCACCTTCTCCCCCGAAGGCCGCCTCTTCCAAGTAGAATACTCCCTCGAAGCAATCAAACTCGGCTCAACCGCCATCGGCATCTCCACCTCCACCGGCGTCATCCTCGGCGTCGAAAAGCGCGTCACCTCCTCCCTCCTCGAGACCTCCTCCGTCGAGAAGATCGTCGAGATCGACCGCCACATCGGCTGCGCAATGTCGGGCCTCCAAGCCGACGCCCGCTCCATGGTCGAGCACGCCCGCGTAGAGTGCCAATCCCACGCCTTCAACTACAACGAGAACCTCCGCGTCGAGTCCTGCACCCAGGCCATTTGCGATCTTGCCCTCCGCTTCGGCGAGAGCGCCGATGGAGAGGAGAGCATCATGTCCAGACCGTTTGGTGTGGCGTTGTTGATTGCGGGCTATGACGAGGACGGGCCGAGCTTGTACCATGCCGAGCCGAGCGGGACGTTTTACAGGTATGATGCCAAGGCTATTGGGAGTGGGAGTGAGGGGGCGCAGGCGGAGTTGCAGAATGAGTATCACAAGGTTTGCTTTCCTTGACAACATACATACAAGGGTATAGAGGGTGCTGACGGGAAAATCCAGTCGTTGACCATCGAGGATGCGGAGACTCTGGTTCTCAAGACGTTGAAGCAGGTCATGGAGGAGAAGCTCGACTCCAAGAATGTCCAGCTTGCTAGCGTCACCAAGGAGCGCGGGTTCAGAATATACACGGATGAGGAGATGGCTGCGGTGGTGGAGAGGCTTCCTGCGAACTAGGCGGCCGCGGGTGGGGCTGCTCCTCCTCCTTCTGCTTTTGCTGGGGGTGCTGTGGATATGGAGGTTGAGATTAGGGGGTTGTGAGCCGGGAGATAGAGATGGTGAACTGTTCTTGATCTCGTCCAGCTGAGCATGTTTCGAGAATAGAGCTGGGTCTTTTGCTAGTGAACTAAGGGTAAATGGAACGAAATGGAGAAAGCTGTATCATGTGAAACTCTTGCTCTTCCTGTATCTGTCTGGTAGGTACTATCTGTTTTGTTGTACAAGATATTTTGACCTGTAAGTGATGTATATATCCCTTTTTTTTTTGTCTTCCGGGCACCCCTTCTGAAAATCAACACCGAAACACCATCGTAAACCGAACAACAACCGCAGATCAAGCAAACCTCCCTTTTCAATGGTATCTTGCAACCCCCTTTTACCCCCCCTCTAGTTCCCCCCCATCCTCCTCTTCTCATCCTCCTCCTCAACAATTACCAGTTCATCCAAATCCCGCTCCACGCTCAGCAGCCCAAGCGCGTAGTGAGCTTGTTCTGTTTTTGCCAGGACGAGTTTCCCGTCTGGGGCTTCTTCCGAGGCTTCAATCTCGCGGATCCGGCGGTCGATGCGCCGGGGACGGTTCCAGATGTTGTCTGGGAATAGGGGGCCGAGCTCGGGGGGTGAGTGGTAGGGTGGGCCGCGGCCGAGGGAGGCGGCTTTGTTCCAGCCGGACTCGCAGCCGTCGGCGATTTGGCGGGCGGATTGCCAGCCTGTTAGCCGGGCTATGTCGCGGAGGCGGCGGATGGTGAAGTGGCGTTGGGGGAGGGATTGGAACTGGGGATGTTAGCGAGATTTATCTACAAAGTTGATGAGGGATGTGTTGGTGATGAGGGAACCAAGGGGGGTGGAGGTTGGGGTGGGTGGTGAAGACGATGATGATGATAATGATGATGATGATGATGATGATGATGATGATGATGATGATGATGATGATGATGATGATGATGATGATGATGATGATGATGATGCGATGATGACAACACGAGAGAAGAGGTTGACGTCTACCATGTACATGACGACGGTGAGGCTCGCGAGGAGGGACAACAATGTCTAATCATGTACATGGCGACGGCAACCTCAGAAGACAAAACAAAACAAAAAAGGAATCTAGTAGTGTACATGATGACGAAGAGAAACAAAAGACAAGAAAAAAATCTATCGTGTACATAGTAATACAACACACTTGAAAAAAAAGAAGAAAAAAAAGAAAAGAAAAAGGAAAAAAAAAAGAAAAAGAAAAGAAAAAAAATTGGACAAGGAAATCTAGTCACATCCACCAACAAAAAAGGGGATCATCATAATACGTCTGGAAGAACCCATATCATCATCATCACAGCCATCATCATCATCATCATCATCATCACAGCATCAAAAACAAAACAAAAAAAGAGGTCATCCCACCGAACTACTCGGCGACCCCAACCCCCCACCACCCCCCAGCAACAACAGCGGAAAAGGACAAACAGGAAACCCCCTTACCTGCACCCCAGCCACAAACAAGCAAAAACAGCTCTCTATAAACGCCGCACCCACCAGCGTGCTCACAGCACTAACATGCGTGGTATCCTCATGCAACCCCGCCGCGATCCTCGCAATCTCATTAGCCCACCTCCCCGTCTGCTGCGCCGCCATGCCGGCGGCATATATCGCAATCGGGGGCATCGACGGGTGGCTTCTGTGCAAAATAATCAGCCCCATGTAGTAATTCATCCATATCCCCGCGATGCTGTAAGTCCTGTAGATCAAAGCCGGGCCAAAGGGGGTCATGTCCGGGGGCGCAAAGTCAGGACCCATGGGCTCAAAGTCGGGGCCGAGCTTGGAGCGGAAGAGCTCAAAGGCGGCGCGGATGGATTCCCATTCTTGGAGGGCTTTGGCGGTCGAGGTGGAGAAGTCTTCTGGTTCTTCCGAGGAGGAAGAAGAGTCCGGGGGAGGGGTGGACTCCCGGGGTGGAGAGAAGCCTTTGGGGATGTCGAAGGTGCCCGAGGATGGCATTAGGCCGGTGAAGGGGGGTGGAGATGCACCTCTTCCCTGGCCGGGTCCCGGGGGACCGCCGGGGAAAGTTCCGGGCGGGCCACCCGGGAAGCCTCCAGGGGGGCCGGCACCAGGAGGACTACCGCCGGGGAATCTTCCTGGGGGACCACCCTCAAAACCGCCAGGAGGACCACCCGGGGGACCACTACCAGGAGGACCGCCAGGACCACCCGGAGCCCCGGGCGGCGGCCCATACTTCCTCGCCTTCCTCTTCCTCGTCAAATCCTTCGACGCAAAACTCGCCAACCGTCCCAACAACAACATCAAATGGTCAAAAGTCCCATAACTACCCAACTCAAGTCAGCCTTCTACCACCATCTCAACCCAAACACCACCCCCCTCAAAACTTACATCGAATCAATCTTCCCAAACGGCCCCCTAGGAATACACTGCGTCCACGCCTCATAATTCATGCTGTTCCCCAAACGTCGTCAGTCCACCATCCCTTCATCCCTAACCCAAGAAAAAAAAACACTTACAAAGGCCTCGTCCCCCCCAGAAAACTCTGATAAATATCCATCTTGCAATACCACCAATACAAATCCCTAATCTGCTCATACTTTTCAACATCCCTCTCCGTCAACCTCCTCACCCTCTCCTCCCCCCCAACAACAACATACCCCTCCCCCCCGCCATAATCAACCTTCAACCCCGTCAGACTCTCAATAAACTCTGTGTCCGGCTCCGGCCAGTCATCCTTTTGCTCATGATGACGCGAGTCGAAACAAAGCTCATCACACTGGTGATTACGCCTCGCTTGCTCCCGCTGTCTCCGCTTCAGAGTGAGAATATCACGCGTCATTTGCCGTAGGGGAAGCTCCTTCAGGATCGCGCGAGCGCCCCACATGTGTTTACACCATTTATCGTGATCCGAGTTCCACACCTCGTAGAAGCCAAGCAGCAAAGTAGCTGCCAGAGTGGCTGGTTGGATCCGTCGAGTAGGGCTTTGGTAGTTCTTGGCGATACGTCGGAGACTCAAGTGGTAGTGCTTCATCGCTGCTGTTGGGGGGTGGCCTTGGAGCTTGGCCATTTGCAGACTACCCAGCGCGAGCATCGCCTGCATGAGGGCCGGGTGATTGAACGCCATGATGGGGAAAGTATCTGGTGATGGAGATATTAGCAAGGGGTGTCCGGTTGGCAGGCAGAGATGGGCGAATAAAGTCGTGGTAAAACTAACAGGTCCAGATGTGTTGCCGTTTCTTGGCGACGGGCTGTCCTTGGAACATGGG